TTGCTGCTGTCTTCGCTAGTAATAGGCACATGGTCTACGCCTTCCGGGAGCCCAAAAGGATGGTGCGTGGTGCTGGTCAAGTGCGTCAAAAACACTCGCTCCTTGTTCTCCTTGGCCGTCTTGAACGCATCGCGGATGTAATCTTCGATGACGTACTCGGGCATTCCGTAGTAGTTGATGTCTTCAACATCCACCGCTCCAAACTTGGCGGCGTCACTCTTTAGGTATTCCTTCGCAACAGTGTTGTTTTCTGGAAAGCCAAGCTGGACCATGAGCTGATCCTGCTTATCAAACCCATTTGTCACCGACATCATAAAGGAAGACTTCCACTTGTGGGTGGTAAAGTCGTTCTTGTCGGCGTCCTTGGAAGCATTCGCGAGGCCGAGGTTCATGGCATCAAAGATGTGAGGCAAGCAAGGTTGATAGATGTGATGCGACACTTCGGCGTTGAAGTCGGCGACAAGCGGTGACAGTCCACAGAGCGTACCAGTCAGACTCTTGAGGGTGTAGCTGGCCGATGTGTGGCAGTTGTTGGCGTTGAGACCGCCCCGTCGCTTCTTCTCCTTGTGTTCAAAGCCATCCTCGTAATCTCCCGTCAGGAAGTTGGCGGTGGGCGTGAGCGTGGAAATCTTCTTCTCGGCCGTCTTCGGGAGTGTACCGTTCTCGAACGATTCTACCGCGAGCTGATAGAACAAGCCATCCTTCTTGACAGGGAAGGCATCCTTTCTCGTGCTCTCGAGTTTGATGAGCACAACGTTCTTGATGGTGATGTTTGCCAGTCTGTCACGAAGCTCGGGGAGGAGATCGTTCTTGAGGTTGGATAACTTCAGGGGATCCTGGGAAGCGCGGTAGTGGGTCTGGTCCTGCTCATACCAATCTGCAAACCCTGCGAGGGGTTCCTGTGGCAGCCACTCCCATCGAATCGGCTCGACCAGCGCGGTGCGGTTGTCCCAGTTCCAGCCAATGCTGTTATCGTAGACGGGAGTGAGCGTAGCTAGAATAGGCGACGAGTGAGCAAAATCCGCAAAGGGAATCAGCGGCAAGGTCCACGACATGTAGGCATAAGATCCCTCACTCGGCCGGACAATATACAGCAGGATCTGAAGGAACAGTGTGAAGCCGACGAGAACATAGAGAGCGGTAGTCCACTTCGACTTTCGACGATTATCAGAGATGACGCTGGAGCCGCTGGAAGTACCGTTGGCGTCAACTTCGTCGTCCTCCTTGCCCATGAGCTCAGCTCCGCCCTCAACATCTTGCTGCGGGATGTGAGCGTATCCGACATTGACCGCGGGGCGCACGCGGTAGGGGATCAGGTTGTATACGAAGGTAAAGGGCCACTTGAGCAGGTCCACGACAAGGCCAGCCAGGTAGTAGAAAATGTCCTGAGTCACCCAGGCGATGCCCAGGTCGATGGCCAACACAATCAGGCACGTAAACAGTCCAGTGACTGCCAGCTTCCATGATGAGGCGTTGCTAGCCAAGCCAGCATTGCGCCAATGCGGTTCAGAGCCTGCGACGACAAAAAACGAGTTGTTGACAGCCGACAGGAACAGCACAATCATGACGATGATGGAGGCCAGCGTTGTGAGAATGATGCGCAGCCACCGCCATGGGTAGATATCCGTATCGAGCAACAGCCGTATTATTATTAAGAAGATGTTGTCTTGTGTGAAGAAGGTGAGGCCCCAATTCCTTATGGAGGAGAAGGCAAGCGCCGTGAGATGGGCGTATATGTGGACCAGCTTGCTGCTGATGATGGCGACGACGCATATGGCGAAGAGGAACTCTCGGGAGACGAATCGAGCCGCGAAGGCAGACAGAACCCGGAGGACAGGTGCCGAAACACGGGTTACGCCCGAGGCGGCGGAATGGAAGCGTCTCCGCGTCGGGCTGGAGAAGCGGATACCAGACGCCATGCCGCTGGCGAAGCGGCGCGTCGATTCCATTGTGAAAAGCCCGAAGAAAGGGGAGAATCGAGTCGGGTCGAGTCGGTGTCAAACTCGTTCGATGGGAGTTGAGGTCGAAGTCGAGGCTGAGGCCGAGGCCGAGGTCGAAATAAGAAAGAAAAGGGCAGAGAGGGCCGAAGGCGAAAACGAGAGGCTCACGGGACTAGCACCAAGTGACGCTTCTCATATCCAACGCGCCGCTGTTGAAGCGGTAGAAGAGGGTTTTATCGTCTCTCTTTCTCCAGCTTCGTTTCGTTTGGTGCTTTATCCCCTAGTCGACGGGATCGCGACACTGTCTCCGCCTCAGTATCCGAGCAACACCGCGGTGCAACGCAGAAATGAATCAATAAGAAGAAGGGGAAAAGAAGGAAGAAGAAGAAAGAAAGAAAGAAACTAGTGCCAAGGGCAGCGAGAGACAGTGATCGCGTGCGCAAACTAAAGCAGAGACCGCAAAAGACTAGACGATGAGATTTACAAGCAGGAAGCGGGAGTGGCAGTTGGGCAAACAAAAGTTCTGCTCGTTTTTGTCGCCCCAAGTCGAGTCGCTCCGTGCTCCGTCCAGTCCCTGTACCGGTACTTTCTAGTCAGTGTCGCGTGCCTGCAATACCGCCAGAGGGCGATGCCCCACAAGCCACGCCAATGACTTCCCGAGATTCATTGCGCTGTGCCTGTTAATGTCTCGGTGACCTGGCGCTTGCTGCATCTGGCTGCTATGTCGCAGGTAGCGGGACTTTGGGCACCTGCTGCAATTGGGTCTCGGCAACCCCTTATTTCGACCGCTAAAACATCTCGCACTGTCCCGAATAGGTCGCATGCATCAAGTACCGGGTACAAGCTTAGCACACCGTGTGCTCCATGTTCCCATTCGCAGTGTCAATGCATTGCCAGAAAGAGGGGGATGCGGCGATGATGAGTTAATCTACAAGAGGAAACGCAGAGGGACAATCCAGAGCAATGGTGTGGTTCGTATTGAAAGCTGCATGTTCGGGATGAGTCTATTTACTGCTAAGCTCGTCAGACGGCGGGTGCACAAGGTCTCGTGCTACCGCAGTGTCCATCACAGACAATCCTCGTAAAAGGGAAGACAAACGGAACAACTTTCTCTTGTATACAGTTGCATTCTGATCTGAAGGGGGTTCGGCTTGGTTGCGTAAGCCCCGCGGCGACAACATCAAGATGCCGAGAGCATTCAGACGCTGGCGAGGTCCAGATGCCTCGTATTAAATTTAGAACACCTGAGAGGGAATTGGCGTTGTGATGATCTCAGCAACATGCTTATTCTCTGTCACCAATCACTTGGCACTACCGGCAATCGACATTTGCGTCTCCCGCTTTTGGCGTTGGTTAAGCTGATATAGAGTTTTTAACACAATGTTAGACGCAATCCAGTAAGACAAACCCAACCGTGAGGGTGGGCTGGGCCAAGACTGAGGCAAGCCCGTGTCTTGTTTCATCTGGTCTTACAATGGAATCCCCTCCATTCATTGATCTGCGTCGAGTGCGGGCTGTGAGCCTCACTTTGGGTGACGGATGTACATACGAGTATGCAGGATTTGCATGACGCAGTTATTCCCCTCTCCATGGATCTTGGCTCAGTATACCTGGTCATTTTGTTACACATGCACAACCTGATCGAAGCAGCAAGATCTCTCTGTACCAGGTATGTATACCTACTTTATCCTACTACTAACCTACCTAGGTAGGTACTAGGTACTAAGTAGGTCAGCAACAACCTCACCGACGGAGCGCATTGCAGCGCATCACCCCGCTTCGGACCAAGAATGACTGGAGAACGTAGACACATAGACAAAGACTTGGTCGCATTGATAACTAATTCATCGAGACCAATTCGACAGCGGGGATATGAAGAAGCATACAATAATGAGATATGATGACATGGATGGGCTGTCCTGTCATATTTTTAGGTTGCTGGCATTTTACTGCCCTGTTCAGCGGGTATCGACACGGGCACAGTGAGAACGGGCGGCGGACACTGTTGCAAAAAGCTTAGCCTCGAGCTAATTTGTAAAACCATTTCATGGCTGAGTCAAGCCTCTTGTTTCTTCCCCCGTTTGTTTCGTCCGGCTGGCCGCCACCTTGTGCTCGTTCAAGCCAACAGTGCGATGAAGTAGCTGAAAGACAGCCGCCACGCGCGGGGAAACGCATGGCAAGAATCGAGCTACTTTTCAGCCTCTCTGTCACTTTGGAGGCTTCCAAGGTTGACAATTGCTGCTCTTCTCAAGGGACAATACCTCCTAGACCAGATCAGGTACTTGTCCCGAGTACAGGTACGAAGTATGGTACCGGAATACAGAGCCGCACAGGCCCCCCCTTATCCAGGATTCTTCATCTTACCCTCCTCCCCCACCCTGTTGAATCCCTCGCATCACGATTGGCTTACCTATTATTGATGGCCATTTACAAGATTAGACTGTATTGCCAAGCATTCGCCGCAGGTGGGCCTCGACTTGACGCTCTCGGTCAGCTGCCGCAGGACCAGTTCGGGGCTATCAATGGGCTTGAATCAATTGAATGGGCGGCTGTGCGCGGTAAAACATCCATGGATTGACAAAACACAGCACGGCACAGGTACCGGTACGAGAGCCCAGGAACGGCCCTGCAAGTACATGTACTTTACCGCCTGTAAGCCACCGCTAGCCTCCTTCTCGAAGACCTCTAGCGACTCGCTACCCCGTATTTTTTTCATTAATTCGCCGGGCCGCGCAAATGTCTCTCATTAAATCCAGAAGATGAAGACGGCACGGCAATCAACCCGAAGCCGCCTCTCTACCTGGATCTCCTTGCTCCTGGTCTTTGCATCAACGCTGTTGGCCCCAGGCCAGCATATGCCGAGAAAAGACAAATTCACGAGCACAAAGGAAAAGATTACAAAAGAAAAAGACAGCAAAAAAGGCCTCGGTTTCTATTCCCGTATACATATTCTGTAACTCCGTATCTGCACCCCGCCTCCCCCTCTCCAATTTTGCGCAACCAGCCAGCCGGCCAGTAGAATTAGGTCCATCCTTCAACATCCGCAGCGAACGAGTCACGATGGCGTCTTCTCCAGACATCCCCGGCCTCAAGTATGCCAGTCACCAGTACGGGCAGCACCAGCTCCAGCAAGTCGGCGTCTGGCAGTTTGAAGAGCCAGAAACGGCACCCTCAACGCCAGCCTATTGGATAATGTACGTTTGCGCTGACGTTACTCCCGCGGTGGAACAGACTCGGAGCCTAACTCTATCCGTGACGTTGACAGCTTTGTCCATGGAGGCGGGTGGCGAGACCCCAGAAACAACATCAGTGACTTTGTGCCGTCCATCAAGCACATGCTGGCGCTGGCCGATCTGCCGAAATCTGCGGTTCGCGGCTTTGCCAGCCTCGACTACCGCCTGTCTCCGCACCCGCGATTCCCCCAGGATCCCGCCTCGACGCCGGCGGATGAGTTTCGCCAGGCCCAGCATCCGCATCATGTCCAAGATGTCCTGTCCGCGCTGAGGCTGCTTGATGCCGAGTATGGCATTGGCAACGACTACGTGCTCATTGGCCACTCGGCCGGCGGCACGTTGGCTCACCAGGTCATCACGAACAACGGCATATCCGATAGCTGGGGTCCGGTGGCGCCCTTTCCCGCAGCCCTCATCAGCATAGCCGGCATACACGACCTAAGAGGCATTGTAGACAGGCACGATACTTTTTACGAGACATTCGTGATCGACGCCTTTGGTCCAGACAGGCTAGCATGGGACGCAGCATCTCCGGCAAAGTTTCCCGGAAGCTTCAAGACCCTGTGCCCCGAGGTCCCTCGTCTGTTCATCTTGGCAGCGTCTACAGAGGACACCGCCATCGACATGCCCGAGCTCGACATCATGGAGGCAAAGCTCATCAAGGACGGCATCACGCCGCTCGTCTTCAGGAACCTCCATCTTGAGCATGACAACATCTGGGAAGACGGCTCGCAGGTTGCGACTCTAGCAGCCCGAGCCGTGGCAGAGCTGCAGCAACGCTGAGCAAAATCCAAAACACCCAACAAATAAACACTACTAGTACTTATGATTAAACTCGTCGTTATTACTACCTGAAAAACATGCTTCCTTGGTGAACCATGTTCCGATATCGGCATATATACATTTTCGTCACTCGTCATTGTGAATATCCTCCCTCTTTTTCCAAAATCCTTTCCCCGCCATTATACCCGATCCCCCCCCCCCTTTCCTTTTCCCCCGTTTCCGATCGAACCAATTCTTCCGGCAGCTAACTTCTTAGCGGCCTAAATCTTGACTTTGAGTACCCATCCGGTCGCCGATATGCGACATGCTACAAAGATGACCGCCGCTGCAGCCATGACAGTTCCTCCCCATATCTGTGCCCAGAAAAAGTCGCCGTTGTTATGGTCGATGATGGCGCCTGCGGTTGGCGCCCCGGCCACCGTCGCCAGCGAGCAGAGCGTCTCTACCATGCCAAACCGAATGCCCATCTTCTGCGGGTCTTTGGTCAAGCTCGTGAGGGACGCGACAAACGTGCCCTGGTTGGCCCCGATAGATAAGCCGTAGACAACGCTAAAGACATACATGCCCGTCCGGGTGGTGACTCCGATCCAGGAGTACAGCATTATGCTTACCACAAAGGTGGCCGTGACGAAGAGATTGATGGGGCCGGTGTATCTGTCCGCGATGAATCCTACAATCGGCCGCGCGGGGATGCCCATGGCATTGGTGATGATGAGGAGATTGATGGAGTCAACGTTGGAGAAGCCAATGACGTTACGGGCGTAACTGTTAATCTAAAGGAAAGGGGTTAACGACGACGTTTTTTTTTCCTGATTGTTGGTGTTTTTTTCTTGTTTTATTTTGATGATTTGTTTTGCAGCAAAGTCACGATTTCCACTTCACGGAAGCGACGAAAGAAAACAAAGACAGAAAGGAACACACGCATCATGATACTGCGCTTACGTACATAGAAGAAGACAAAGTAGAGGGCATAAAAGTATACAAACGCAGCCATGGAGAACAAGAGGTACGGCAGCTCCGAGAAGGCGCCAATCTCAAACAAAGGGCCCGTCTTGCGCGGCGGCAATCTGGGCTTGAGCAGCATGTTCGCCGTCACGGCCATGGCCAGCGCCAGGAAGCCCGCGCAGCGCACCGCCCAGGGGAACCCGATCTTGGGCGTCAGATACTGGATCGTCGTGGGGAATGTCACGCTGCCGACCGAGGTGCCGACCGCCGAGACGGCCAGCGCAAAGGCCCTGTTCTTGTCGAAGTACGAGCTCAGCACGCTGATGGCCGGCATAAAGGCCACGCCCAGGCCGAAGCCGATACACACGCCCTGCGCCAGGAAGATTTGCCAGTACGTCGTCGCCAGGCTCGTCATGAAGGTGCCGAAGACGGCCATGAAGGTGCCCACCGCCACCGTCTCCCGCGTGTAGCCCGCGTCGGCGAGGCGGCCGGACACGGCGCAGATGACATAGGTGAAGAAGATTTGCACGGAGCCGATCCACGAGACCTGCGATGCTGGAAGGCCCAGCGTCTCGACGTAGTACAGCTGGTAGACGCCAAAGGAGGCCGCGTAGCCCCAGGTCATGGCGTTGATGAGGTGTGTCGCGAGGACCTGGAGCCACGCTTGGAGACCGCCGTCTGGAGGGGGTCCGTAATCTTTTTCTTCTTCCGCCAGCTCGACGTCATGAGCAGCGTTTATGACAGTCGGTGATGAGTTGTCATTGTTGGAAGTGGTGTTGCCCAGGACACTGGTCTCCTGGACGGCAACAGGTCCTTTGGAGGAGGCATCTTTCTCATCATCTCGTAGCGTCATGGTCAATTTCAACGAAAGGAGAAGAAGAAATAAATAGAGAGGGGGTATCGTATTAAGTCGACAATTAAAAGAAAACAAAAAAAAAAAAAAAAGTAGTAGTAATAATAATCAATCTTTCCTATAGCACATCAAACAACAAGAACAATTTGTTGAAGCCCTCGAAAGCCATGCCACTCTTTTCTTCTGTAAGCGCAAAAAGCTCCCACCGAACAAGAACAATCCCTCTTCCGCCATTAGCTCTGCCTCGTACGGGAGAGTCAACTTATATACTTGCCGCCAAAACGCCTCTCTTATCATTTTCTTCTTCCTTTCCATCAAGTAAGGTTCAATTGCAATGACAGCCCCCTAAAGCCGTTCCGTTCTTCGGGGATGACGCCCCCGATATCGCCCCCCGGTGCAGGCGCCGTATATTATCAATAGACTCATCAGCGGCGCAGGAAAAGAAAAACAAGGGAACCAACAAAGCAAGCCCAGTTTAGAAAAAAATCACACAAAAAGTACGAAGTTACAAGTGGTATTATCTGCCGAGTGAGCGAAGAATGATGGTGCACGCGCGCCCTAAAGCAAAATGTACATGTAGACAGGGGGGGTAGAAGGTGGATCGGGTCGGAATCGGCAGCTAGAACCGGAGCATCTTTCACCGAGCCCGGCTGCACGGAATCAGCTGAACCATTGTGTTTTTTCATGTAAGGGGTTGGGGGATTTTGTGGGCTTGACCAGGCCAATTGATTCTGTTTCTTTCATCTTTTCATCTAATCTTTTCAAACTCAAAGGGCATGTGACTGATTTCGTCAAGGGAGGTCGGAAGGGGCGTATCGCATTTGGGGGCGAGATTTGTCTTTCGTCTTGACAATTGACAACCGATAAGCTGTCAAAGCTTCTGTCAAACACAAAGCTCTCCCAAGCTTTCCAAAAGCAGTAATAACGTGCCGACGGAGCTCACCATCCCGCGTAATCAAACACCCGAAAACAAAAACCCACAAAAAAAAAAAAAAGAAACCACATGCTCTAATGAAACCTTGCTTTTTCCCCAAAGCATTTAATACAGGGTAACTTCAATTGGGAACCTTTTCTCGTTCCTCTTATCCAGCCCCCAGCCTTAGCCCCTCCCCCCCGCTCCGATGTCCGGCTTCCCCGGGCCCACATCAGGCCGAACCAAAATATCGGCGACTTGGGGGGAATGATTTTTTTGCTTGTCTGTTTCTTCTTTGTTTCCGTTGGGGTTAATCGCTTCCTCAGGCCCCCAAATTTCTCACCGCTTCCCGTAAGGTAATGCGTACGTAAAAAGGAATATTCCAGCCCACTTGACGAAGCCCGAGAGAGGAAATGCTGGAAGAAAGAAATAAAAAGCGGGAAACTAGTACGAGTATTCTATTTGATTTCCAATTTTCTCCGCCTTTCATTCGTTCAATCAAGTTGCGCGCACCCTCTCTTTTGTCATCAAACTGTTTTCTCGCTGCGAAACATTATCCGTCAGCTGCGGTGCGTTTCCCGGTGCCTGGCAAGAAAAACAAAGCGCTACCGCTCGCTGGCGGAGTTTCACGTCCGAACTAGACCTCGACGGTGGGCGAAATGAATGCAAACTCGTTAATACACTATCCAGCCTGCCTCTCACCCCTTTTTTTTCTTCTTTTTTTCCACCAGTACCCAAACCGCCGTACTCATGCTACACAAAATTCCATGCACTCTGAATATTTCTTTTCAGCTTCATCTTCTTTTGCATCTTCTCATTTCTCCAGAATTCTTCCGAATCAGCCCCTCCAATCCGCGGGGTAACTCAATGACGTAAACAGGCCCCCCTCCCTCCCCAGATGGAACATCGCACACACAAAATCCTTCCCCTTATCGTTTTCTTCCTCTGTCCTCGTGCAAAGTCACATGACCCCTCATCCACCCGGACCAATCGGCTTTTGAACCCCTGGATCCCAAAAAGGATCCCCTTGCGCCGGCTTCTGCCGGCCCGTAACGGCGCTAGCCTGCATGGGGCATGGTCGAGAGAGCCAAGTTTGACGACACCTGCAACTTTGCCGCGAGGTGATATTTCCAAAAGAGCGCTGGCGGAGATGCTCCTCTGGTAGCATTCTGCTTGGATTGGATACCGTCGTCGTCCTGGGTGAGCGATTGGCGCCTGCGCGGCTGCAGGGCGGGTTCGAAGCGCCTGGTGCGTCCCATCCTTGCGACGTTGCGCTCAAGCTAACATCGGGCGAAACGCCCTAGCGGCTCGGGATTGCCTGAAACAGGCCAACAACTCGTCCTTTGCTCATCACCCATCACTCATCGTAAAAATAGTCAGTCAGGGCGCATCTGCTAATGTAAAACGACTTCTTTTTTATAAAAACATGTTCCCGTATATTCGAAGCGCAATGGCGCTCCTTTCTCTGCGCTATGCCACTTGTTCCTCCCAGGCAAGCCCTCCCTCCTTCCAGAAAACAGGAACGAGCTGTACCAGAATCTCAAAGGAAAAAAAACAGTCAAAGATAGAAAAAAGCCCGCAAACTACCGACCACGAATCGCTGAAAATTCGGCGCAACAGATAGGAACCTTTGAAAACGGAGGAAAATGAAAAAGAGATAAACGGAAAACAGCAAAGAGGGAAAAAAAAAGAGCACCTCCTTCCCCGCCACCCGTCCCTTGTCAAGAAACTAGACAGTTGTAATCACACCAAAGACGAGCGCTCCAACCGGCGTTGGTTTTTTTTTGCCACCATACCCGACCAATCCTTCTTTACTTTAGACATAGGATGCGAAAGGAAAAAAAAAAGAGGAAAATAGAAAAAAGAGGAAAAACAGGAAAAAAAGGAAATAGGAAAATATTGGACACGCTCCTCCCCGCCTTTCGTCCCAATCTTCGTTGGCGAGACCTTTTTCCAAAGCTCGCCACGGCCGCCTTTTTTGGTGCTAACCCCCTCGTTCCAGATCAATGGTTGTCCCCCATTGATGACATTTGCGCACAAATTGTAGAGTTGGCGCAGTTGTGTGTGTGTGTATGTGTGTGCCCTACTGTGATCTGTTGATGTAGCTGTCTTCGCTGTGCAGCTTGATGATGACGCAAGAGAAAACGCATATGCGGAAGGAAGAGCAGAAACAGAAACGATGATGAAAAAAAGAGGAGAAAATGAAGAAGAAAGCCGAAAACAGATAAATGACACCTGATACACATCCCAAACGCCATTGAAGGAGTGTAATGGCCTTGCGTTGGCCGTCATGATTACATCTTCATAATAGCATCAAGTAAGGAAATGAAGATTGCGCCAGAAAAGAAGAAAAAAATCACAAAAAGCTTCAAGAGGCTATAGCCGCCGACCGCCCTGTTGCTCCTTTGTGTCTCAAGCGTCCAATTCAGAGACTGAAGGACCATCATTGAGAAAATAACGTTGCAGGGACTGTAGTACCCCAAGCGACCCTGAGCTGAGAATCAGGGGGGAAGAAAATAAAAAGAGCCTCCTTTTCTTTCTTGCTTCCTAACCGACACACATCGTACAGAGCCTGGCGCGCGGGAAAACAAAAAAAAAGCACACGGGCAGATATTTGTTCTCTACCGCTTACGCTTCTTGGCCTTGTCGGCAGTCATGGTGTTGGCGGCGATGGGTGCCGCGGGCAGCAGGGCTGGATGCGATGCGAGAATAATTTCCTCCATCTTTAGCGGCACTCCCATGTGGCGACCATAGCGACCCTTTCGGCCGTTGCCCTCGTCTTCGCTGATGCACTGATCTGCCGAGAGGCCGGCATCGCGGCAGCGACCACAAGGTCGTTGTCGATCGCAGCCCTTTTTGCTCTTCCTGCACCGCTGGCAGCGCGGCTTGGTGGAGAGATCAGGCTGCTCTTCTTCTCCGGCTTGCGGGGCATGTCCGATGGACACCACCGATTGCTTCCTAGAATGTGTGGTGGAGGCCGCGGGGGAGATTGGGCCATTGGGCACAATGGGTGGCTTCTTGATCTTGCTGCCATTGGAAGCGCGGGGCGCCTTGATCTTGGAAGAGGCTGGCTTGGGCACGGCGATGGGAGCGGGCTTGCTCTTGACCAACCTGCTCTGGGCCGGCTTGACGTCTAGGCCATCCTCGTAGTCGGCATCATCACCGCTAGCCTCGGCGCCGTCAATGGGCGGCATGAAGTGCGATTCGGTGGTCTGGTAAATCTGCTTGGACACGCCAGACAGATCCAACTTTTGGCGACGAGATGGCGGGAGCCCGGCGTCGCTATCGCTGTCGCTGTCGCTAGTTGCGCCAGTGGACGATGCGCCGTCGGCTCGACCGCTAAATGCGTCCTCCAAAGTCGATGCAGAGGTGCGGCCATGAGAAATGTTGGACATCTCGCCCAGCCGCATGAGCTGAATGGCGACATCCTTGTCTTCCTCCGACATGCAGCTTCCGACGGTGGGGTCGGGAGTTGGGAGGATGCCCATGCCATGGGTCATGCTATGGCTGCCGTACGAGATGCTGCCCCGGCCGCGACGGTCGCTGGAGACAGGGGTCGAGTACATGCTCAACCCATGCCCGCTACCATAGCTCTGCGGAGAGTGCAGTGGTCGTGGGTTTATAAAAGGGTTTTGGCCAGTCTGGACGTAAGACAGAGACGGTCTGTGATGCTCGATACGTCTGGCCGGAGAGACGGATGGGTTCGAAGTAGCGGCCGGCATCTGAGGCGGTGCGAATAGAGGCAGTTCCTAGAAGAAAAGAAGAGAAAATAGGTTAGCAAAATCGCGAACAAACGTTTGTAGTGATGATGCGCCACGCTTACAGAGCTTTCAAACTTGGCCCTCTTCCGTCGGCCACCTTCGACAATGTTTTCAACACTAATGTCGGTGGTCCCGAGCTGCTCCTTTGCTCGGGCGGATGCGGTGCTCGGGGCGCCATCGCCGCTGCTATAACCATTCATGCTCTCGGCGTAGGCATCGGTGTGGTTATGGAGGATGCGGCTCTTGGTAGAGCGAGAGCGGCCCTTTTTGCCATTGGTGCTGGTCGAGTCGCTTCTGCGTCCCCGCGGCGAAGGACTTCGCCTCCGTGGTGATTGCGAATAGGACCGGGCCATCTCGGGCCCGTAGCGCTGAGGGAGGGCGTAGCCGTCGCCGCCGTAATAAGAATCAGCGCCCATATGAAGGCCGCGGTAGTGATGTGATTCTAGGGCGCCGACGGACGCCTCTTCGATGACCCGGACGTAGACAATCATGTTGTTGCGGAAATTTTCATATCGCGCAATCAGGGTGTTGCCAAGCTCGTCCTCGAAGCTGACGCCTTTTGATCCGGGAGGACCCGAGTACAAGCCGTAAAAGTTCTTGACGGTTGTAACAATCGAGTCCGTGGTATCATGAGGATAAATCTGGACTCTCATGGGCAAGCGCGCACGGTATTGAGGCGATTCAAGGAATAGCAGCTCAAATGCGACGTTCTTGGGGCTCGGCGCCTGACGAGGCGAGACACTGCCCCCGTTTGAGGACGCCGCCGACATGCCGCCAGAAGTGTTTATGGGGGATAACGAATTCATGTTTTTATGTATAGTCTATCTTTTTGATGGACTTGTGTAATGTTCGAATCGGATGGAAGAGGGGGGGGGATGGCGATCGACGTTCCCGTGGAGAGAGTTGGGCTGGGGACGTGGGTGCGGATTTTGCCTTGGTCGGACAGAGCCAGCAGCTTCAGGCAAGAGTATCGCTTGGAAGGAGGACGGGCAATTTCATCACCGGCCGACAGCCAGGACTCGATATGGGCTCTTCCGCTTCTAGATGACGATGAATGATGAGGCAATGTCAAAAGTTCATCACCATCCAGGCTATGCGGTAAGCGCCTGCTTCTTGGTCAGCTCCTGGCTGGCGCGGCGGCGGATTCGGCGGCGGCGAGGACTGGAGAGAGCGGCGGCGCTCAGGGCGAGATCTGGTAGACGATCAAGCGAGGTTAGCCATGGACGCCCGCGATGGACTTGGAAGAAGGCTGCCAACAAGAGTTGATGAAGACCGCGAAGCCCTCAGTCGGGACGGATTGGGGGGGAGAAAAAGCTGCTGTGAACCAAAGGCGCCGGCAAAGCCAGGACGGGGAGTGGGATGAGGTGCGTATCCAAGGGACGGGGACGTTTTGGGAGGCCAAGTTCAGGGCAAATGCATGATCGCGCACGACGAGAGAGTCGATGGAACTCACCAGATGTATCAGGAGTGGTTTGCAAAAGCTGTTGCTGGAGGCCAAGTTGGTAGAATGTGTGCATGGGGAAAAGAGGAGCTGCTAGGCGAGGTCGAACGATTTTGTTGCTTGCCCGGCTTGGGCTCACTAACACGGCGCTGCTGTCGCAGTCTTCTGGAAGCGCCTTGTAGCGCCTCTAACGCGGCGGTTCAGGGCATTAGGTCGCCAGAGAACGTGCTGGATGGCGCCGTGGGAGCCCTGGAGGCAAAGGTTCGGCAGGCTGTAGGACTGGATCAGCGCCTCGGACAGCCCCAAGGGCCATTGCCCCCAGTCGCATTTCGCCGGGCTTCTTGTTCCCTTCTTTTTTTTTGCGCCCGGCAGAATTTGGAACCTTTTCACTCTCAAACATGTGCTTTGATTTGATTATTTAGCATTGGTCTGGATGCCACTAAACGGCGCTTCTCTACGCAAGGGGGAAAAGGCTGCTGTTCAGGCTGCAGTGGCCATCCCATGCCGTGCTGTACGGCGCAAACAAACTGGGGGGAGCGAATACTGGGGAGCCGGCTTCCACCTTGCGACTCGACCTTTCGTCTCTCGCGTCGCGCACATTTACGAAGGCTGGATATTAACGCCTTTGACTATACATATGGTAGAGAGAGGAAGAGAGAGAGAGAGAGAGAGAACTAAAGAAATCAAGCATTGCTTGTTGATAGTGTATGAAGCCCTCACGGTGGGTGAGTCAACACCGCTTACATTGGACGCATGTATATACTGACTGAGCCACTCCGGCATTGGCTTTGGCTTTGATAGTAGCAGCTGCGATTGAATAGGCAAATCCATGTAGATTTGCTACCAAGGGGGCCAATATACTCGACATGTCTACTAGATACAGCTGAATTGATCCAATCCGAGTTCCATTACTTTCGTACTGGTCAGAAAAGCCAAGCCGGAGCCTCTCGACAGGGAGACCAAGCTCCATCAATGCCCGTCTGCGGCCACAAAAACGCCAGCCAGTTCCAACGGACCTATGAGATGACGGCATCTCCAAACCCTCATCCTTCGTCAGGCACCACAGCAGATGGTTAGGGCAGCGTACATATCGGTGGTCACTTTTATTTCCCCTTCCCCTTCTTTTTCCTCGTCTCGTCAGTTCTTCTGCTGCTGCACGGTACGCACACGTGTGGGCGCAGGCTACTGTGCTCGCCATGTATTCGCACACAGACATGGCTAGATGCCATGCCGTGAGAGGGTCGGATTCAAAGGGGAACGGTGCTGAGGCGATGGGCAACGCGGCCGGAAAGGGCATAGGGCGCAGAGACCGCTCGTTTGGCCCGTTTGACCCGTCACCAACTCATCAAGTCCCTAGTCTGGTGACCCCGTCGGCCATTTTCGCGTAGTAGCATCATCTATTATTATGGAGTTGTTCGTTGTCAAACTCAGCCAGACGGGCCCACACGGACAGCGAAGGCGACGCCACCAGCCCCTCATGGCCTGCGATCCCAAGATGTGAGCCGGCAACTGACATGCAGAGTGTGTCGAGCTACATGTAGTCTTGTTGCCTTAGCACGACCAGAGATACAGTAGCAGCGTAGGAATCCTGCGTGTCTCCATCCCCATCGTGTGTTGACGGTGTGTGTGTGTGTGTGCCGGGTGCTCTTGTCCTCTGCCTCTGGTCTGGTTCTGTGTCTACATCTCCGTTCTGCGAAGCTCTATCTAGGTACTAATACGATGCGCTCTTCTTGCTTGGAACGAGTTGCCGTCTGTACCTTACCTTGGTACCTTATGTACGAGCATGTACTCGTAGGTATTCGTGTCGTATCACTGCCTGGCAGTGGCCGATATGTGACATGATGGCATGGGAGCGCATCCCAGAGTCGAAAGCTGCAGGACGCTGGGCGTGCGTGTGCGTGCGTGGTGCGGACGGACGTGCGTCCATGCGGCCTGGTGCTGATTGATTGATTGATTGATTGCGATTGATTGATTGATTGATTTGATTGATCCGCCACCCTCTCCGCACCACTCGCTGGCAGACAAACATCCAGACTTGCTTGTCCTTGTCCTGCTTGTACAGCGAATGGCCAGGGCCCCAGCCCAGGCTCCGCGAAGCGCATTCCGACGACCCCCATGGGCTGGGCTGGCACACCCAGGGCTGGACTTTGACGAGCGCTTGTTCTCCATTGTTGGAAAGGCTGTTCGACCTCGTGCGAAGCTAAAGGAGAGAGAGGGAGAGAACGAGCTGGACCGTCACCGCGGCATGGGTGAGCGAGTTCTGCTAGTCTCCAAGCATCCAAGGCCGATATCCAGCGGCTGGGTGTCTAAATTTACCAACTCCAGCTGCTCCGTGTGTGCTTGTGCTTTCTTCCAATATTAATTCCCGAGCGCTGCTGAGGGCCAATGGGCGCCGCATCAGATGCCGGCCCAGAGGCGCCCGTTTCTCGTCCTGCAGGGATCCTGAACAGCAACAGTGTGGGCTAAGCAGAAGCAGGAGAGGTGGGGAGCCAGACTGAGGCGGTAGCGGCAAGGGCTGGGGCAAAGGGTCCAAGTTGAGGCCAGTTGACTCGAGCATTCAATGGCTATCGATTCATACAGCGTCTGTCCCAAGCATGACTGCCTGCTGGCTGCATTGAATCTGTGTGCTAGGTGCTTAGTGTGCTGCCGGGGCTCGGCACCGCTTCGATCCTCGCAGGACGATCCAGAACAGCTTCAACTCTGCAACACTCGGGGTAATCAAGCAGCCACCCAGCAGCTGCTCGTCTGTCTGCTTTGCTCCTGGTTCTCCGGACAAGCACAGATGACATGTTTAATCAATTGTGCTGTCTGTCTCTGGGCCTTGCGGTGCTTCTTGGCCTCAACCTTTTGTCCACGCGAGACGATGCTGAACTGAGCTGAGCTGAGCTGAGCAGAGCAGAGCAGAGGGAGGGTGTGCCTGACTGACAGCCCCTCTCCTGTCGTCGCAAGATCGGCCCAAACTCTCTCGAATGGGGAGAGGAGGGGAAACCCCAAGCACCAGGCCAATGTTTGCTTCATGGCCCGTCAATCGTCAGCCTCTGGTTGGAGCAGCGGCTACTGTACGCTGAGAAAGGCGCAAATCGCGACCAGCGTTATGCGTGGCTTGGCTAATACCAAGCTACGAATTGACTTTGTCCCCTTTTTTTACCCAACTTGTTTTCATTCTCTCATGCCCCCCCAATTTCCCCTCTTCGGCCTTTACTGTTTCGAGACTCTTTTAGAGGATTCACTAAGGAAAAACAAAGGTAGGAAAAAGAAAAGAAAAGGTGAAAAATTAACAGGACAAAATCCTCGACCATGGCTCCGTCCAGGCACGGGCAATCCAATCATATGCAGTGGCACAAGCTCAGTTTCCCGCTAAGTTGCAGACCATGTCCTTCCTATGGGTCCCCCGGTTTCAGCGTCCAGTCGGAGGCGATTTTGTATACTTCTCAGGCTTGCGAGGCGTCTTCTCCCAAGAGACTACTCGTATATTCGTTGGGTTGGCATCGAGGTCGGGCAGCACGCAGGCGTCCGTGCTGGGCGTCTTCTGCAGCCAGCGTTGCGCCCAGTTTGCCATGGCAAGCCTCCCTCTAGATCTAGCCCTTGTTGATTCTTGATTCTTGATTCTTGTCCTTGTTCTTGGTGCTGATCGGGGTCATCTCGTGGCGCTTGTCTGAGTTGAACGTTCCATGCACCCTGAGAGATGCCTCCAGTTCTATACCTTGGAGTCAACGCCACCAACACCGACATTCCCAAGGCTTCAACGCATGCTCGTACATGTACTCGTATTGACAGTAGAATTGACACCAGCTCGGTTAAGCCTAGGGTCAAGCGTCGCATCAATGCTGCACAGTACAAGGACGAACAGCCGTCTTTCATCAGTCACCGCTTTGTTCCCCCCCGCGCAAGCCTGGATGCATGCGCTGAGAGGCTTTGTGGATACAACGGTTGGGTGGACAAGATGCGTGCCGAATCAGCGCCAGAACGGTGGCTCCCAAAGCATCAACGGGACAGGAGCATTTTTTGCTGGGCCCCGTTCTCCTCTCCTGTGTGTGTGCCTTGCGGCAGTGGCCAAAAGTTTATGATCGCCTGCATTTGTGCCCCAGGCCGGATAATGCATGCAGAGCAGCGTCCCAATGGGAGCTCGCCCTGCGATACAACGGCTCCGGTGTTGTGGGCTCGAGTGTGCGTTGTTATTCCTTTGGCGATGCGAGTGATGATGGGACGGCTGTTTCTGGCTTCCCAACGAATTGCGGACCTCGTCGCTGCCATGCACTCACTCACATCATCGCAGCCTGCTTTTACGAGCCCCCCTTCATCAGATCTCCTGATTCTACGCGGACGTACACACTGGTACGGGTACGGGCACGGGCACGGAGCACACATGCGGCGTCGTACCAGGCTTGCTTCCCGTGTTGCCGCAGTATGCGCCATCGAGGCTGGATGTACGAGTATGTACAATACTCCGTCGGGGCAGAAGGCATTGCTGCTTGTCAACTGCGTGGCAGAGCCGTCCCGGTGTCTACAAGTAGGTACGCCATCGTTGAACTCAAGTACCATTGTGGCGCCGGCCGACACTAGCATAATTCGAAACGAAAGAAAGCAAACCATGTTGCGGCCGGATCGGCACGCACGAAAGCACCTGTGTGTGTTCGCTGCCCAGGGCTGGCCTCTTGAAGCGCTGGCTTCTTGCTCAAGCCCTGCTCGTTGGTGTTGTTGATGGACGGCTAGATGACTAGATTTAAAAGGCAAAGAGGTTGTGCGTAGTGGACATGTAAAACATTGTGCTTGCGCAAAAGGACGCAGCTCGGGGCAACAAATTCCTCTTCACGGTGGCGATATATTAAAATGGGTAAGATATGATATCATATCGTCGAAACTCGCACGGGACGTGCCCCAAATCGCTCATTTGAGCTGCAACGGGGGCTTAGATTTGCGCAATGGGAGTTTGGAGCACACGCCAACGTATCAACAAGGGCCTGCCACGGTCTTGATCTGGGAGATGCTTGTCAGTGTTTGCGACAGATTCATGATGGCAAGACACGGTGTTCTGCTCAAGCTAAAATGAGCAGCCAGACGATCCAATCCAGGGAGGCTTGCGCCAGGCGCACCAGCTCAACAACAAGCGACTCGGCACCAGAGAGCCGCAGCACGCGAGTCTCATACGGCGGTCGCGGTAGGTTAGCTCAATGCCCAGGAATCTGGAATATCACAATCGTGGCTGAGGCGGGAATTGCGACGCAAGGTTGGGTCGACTAGTGCAACCTTGCTCAGAGAGGCTGGATGAGGGGGTTTTTGATGAGATGAATGGCATTCAAGCGTTGTCGCGACACTTGGTTCCGTCGATTCCACCGTCTCCCCAGCGCGATTGCTGCATCGAAAGGCCATCACCACCGCCGCACTCTGTCGCAATTCATCGCGCCCGGCTTTGATATCATCGATTTCCAAGCGCAAATTGCTCGCATGGGGTTTGCGGCGACAAACAACGAAGCGGCCTGGCCGGAAGGACTATCGCCTATTAGTAGCTCAGTAGCTTACACTTTAACTGCCGAGCTTACAACACGGGGCGTCGCAAGAGCCAGATCGAAGCACCGACCGCATTGCTTCAAAGACATGTCTCAATCGCGCCTCGAACCAAAGCGCGAGCGCCCTTTTCGTCCCTCGTCGTCTTCGAACTGTCTTCCCTTGCCTGAGGCATGTTCATGTTTCAACCCGTCCAGAGTGGGGGGGAGTCGAAAGTCGAAAGGGCACTTTAAAGTGGTAGCGTCTCGTCACGTGAACGCGTGTTATACTGGCGCAATTTCCGATGGCAGCCCTAACGCGTCCGAGACGCCCAAATGCGCCGGCCGCAATTTCACCGCTGCGGCGTGATTTCGGTAAAGAAAAGCCAAAGCCCGTATCGCTGCGATATCCAGCAGACGCTGACACGGCTTAGAGGCCATCGCCGCCCGCGGGTGCTGCTGCATCTGCGCAAAAGTGAAACTCTGAGGATTTTCGTCATCTCAAGTGAGACGCGACGAGATCGTCCGGCCGCCGCAACCGGACTAGCGGCCCGGCGGTACGTCTCTCTGTGCTACACGCAACCCCCCGGAATATCGTCATCTCCGGGACGACAGGCAAATGACGCGACATGTTCGCATGATGGCCCGTGCGCGCATGCCGACCCCCAACGCCGCGGTAGCTCAGCGAAGCTCCAGCTTACAGTTGGTGTCAATAATGGGCTATCCTGCGCTAAAGCGTCTGCAGCGCTTGGGGATAAACAAATAAACATTGGAAAAAGACACCACGGACTCTGGCTCTGCTCACCACCAGGGACCAATTAATTAAATCCCCCGGAGTTCCAGGCTCCTCCCCAGCCTCCCAACCACTAACAACGCACGTCTTGCAAACGGCGCATCGGTTTTTGTTCCTGCTACCTGCGTCCCGAGTTGCAAGCGAGAACTGGCGCATATTCCCTGTCGTTGTCGCTATCGCCAATTTCCACCTTGCACCTTCTCAGCGGCTGAGGGGAATTTGACAGACCAGGGCCCAGAGCACGAGAGCAGCATCTTTTCCCAGCTGGGGCGGTTTCCCTTCTTCTCCAAATCCACATCGTCTTTTTTTTTTTGTCTCCATTTGTACGAAATACTCATCAGGCTCGCCCCTTTCCCGCTTTCTTTTCTCCCCTCGTGTATGGTCGACAAGCCAAGGCTGTGTACTGCGTCTTCAATTTGACGTGATTCTGCGTCACCGTCTAATTTGTTTCTGATAATCCTTGGGGAGTCCCGTTGTCTCCGAAGTGCGACGCTGGAATCTCGGACGATCCTGGACACCACGCCACGGACAGCTTTATTGTATGATATCCCGACGCGGGTTGATCAGTGGAAAGGCTACGCCGCCTTTTCGCCTTGATTCGCATAACTTTATTTCGCGCATTCTACCAGATCAGTGTACATTATCCTTAGAGGCCCGAAAGCGAGGCGCAGACGGCCTCTCCCACAATGGACGCACGGGTATGTTGGGAAACAGAGACGAGCAAAAATGGCTGCTTGGCTCTATCTTTTGCACCCTTTCCTTCCTCCCCATCTGCCTCCTATCTGTCGTATACCATGCAACCCTGGTTCAATTTGTAGCCAAACTGACCCTTCATCTCCTTCATCTAGCCCTTTAGACCGCGCGGCAGCGAGAACATGCAGCAACTTCTTCACCAGCGCCACAAATCAGCAGGAGCTGTCGGCACCGCTCTGGCAGTCCCCGTGGCTGGATTCAAAGGCCCCGCTAAACGTGCTGCCTTTGGTGATGTGACAAACGTGTCCAAGTCTCTGGGAGGACGTGGTGACGAGGCCAAGGGTATCAAAAAGGCTGCCATGGTGGCCACGAATCACGCGTCCGCATCCTTTCTGAATAAGGAAAACGCGGTAAAGACTAGCAAAGATTCCCTCTCCCGACCTGCACAGCGACCCGCAGCTCTGGCAGGCAGCAAATCCAAGGTCACGACGACGGAAGCTCGTGCGGAGCCTCTGCAGAGGAAGCCCGCAAACATTCCCGCAAAGGAGCCTGCTTATAAACACGACATCGATATTCCCCAGCTACACGGCAACAAGACCAAGAGTAATGGCGTCACGACGCAGAAGAAGAGCTCCTCCGTTCAGGCTGCCCCCGAGGCGCATTCGAAGCAACCTCGTCATCACAAGAGCCAGCCGCAACTCAAACAGCAACAACCAACCCTGCGGAGAACCCAGAGCAAGGTCGAGAAGGTCGAGAAGAAGGTCGAACGCGCTCCCATTAGGCCAAATCTTGTTGAAATCGACATCGAACCTCTGGTAATGCCCGCCTTGATTGAAGATTTCTTGGCCAGCGACGATTCCTATCTAGACTCGCTCAATTGCCCACCCAAGGAGGCCCCACGTGCAGACGTGAATCACGACGACAGCCATGTTGAGGTGTTGGCCAAGCTCCCGAATATCTCCGAGGAACCCGCCATTAATATCGAAACTTACAAAGAGGGCCTCACTCTCGCACTCTCCGAAGCCGAAGAGTACTGGGACGAAGAGGATGAGGACTATGATGATCAAGATCAGGGTTACACGACGGCTCATTCGACTCGATCCCGCGACATGACGTTAGGAAACGCCACGACCATTCTCGCCCCACGAGTAACCAGCCGTGTGCAGCGGGAACTAGACGAAGCTAGAATCGAGGTCGAACAGACCATCACCCCGGAAGAGATTGACGAGGAGATGTGGGATGTCAGCATGGTTGCTGAGTACGGCGAAGAGATTTTTGAGTATTTGAGAGAAATGGAGGTAATGAAACAAATCCAACTATTCCAAGACGCCCCCCCCCGTCGATCGCTCGCTGACCCTCCTCGTGCAGACGAAGATGCTCCCTAATCCCCATTATATGGAAATGCAAACAGAGATCCAGTGGTCCATGCGGACTGTCCTTATGGACTGGCTGGTGCAAGTGCATCACCGCTTCAATCTCTTGCCAGAGACACTTTTCCTTACCGTCAACTACATTGACCGGTTCCTTTCCTGCAAGATTGTTTCTATCGGAAAGCTGCAGCTGGTGGGGGCCACGGCCATCTTGGTTGCGTCCAAGTACGAAGAAATCAACTGCCCGTCATTAGACGAGATAGTCTACATGGTGGATAGCGGTTACACAACGGAGGATATCCTAAAGGCCGAGCGCTTCATGCTCAGCATGCTCGGGTTTGAGCTGGGATGGCCGGGCCCCATGAGCTTCTTGCGACGAGTCAGCAAGGCCGACGATTATGATCTCGATACCCGAACTCTGGCTAAATACTTCTTGGAGCTCACGATTATGGATGAGCGCTTTGTGGCCTCACCCCCGAGCTTTCTTGCTGCCGGTGCGCACTGCCTCTCTAGGCTCATCTTGAACAAGGGCGAATGGGTGAGTTTTCTTCTTCTTTTTCAACTTTGCAGACTCCCGACACTGATTGACTGACAAGAATTACACAGACCAAGCGCCACGTTCACTACTCAGGGTATACATGGAGCCAGCTCAAATCGCTGGTGACCATGATGATTGAGTGCTGTGAAAACCCCGTCAAGCATCACGGAGCCGTATTTGAGAAATATCGAGAGAAGCGATTCAAAGAGGCGTCTGTTCAAGTCCAGAACGCCCTCGACGCTGGATTCACGCTCCCGCATCACTCGACACCTGTTCGTCGCCTGCAACCAGCCCGCATCCCAAGTGCTACCGAACTGCAGTATGGGAGCCTTCTCATCGACATAAAAGGGTGAGGATAAGGCCCCCCGAGCAATTCGTCTACTGTAATTCCCGCTTTGATGTCACCACACGGCCCATGGGGGTGGCTACATGATACCACCGTGCTTTGAGATGCGATTCCTTGTTAATTTTTGACCCCGACCTTGCTCACTGCGATTTCATTTTTCTTGTTCTCTTTTTTCGGGGATTGCAGGCGATCTTACGAAGCCAATGACGCATACACTCACGCAAGCACACTACCACATTCTGGACGAGAATTTTCTTCTTTTTGTTTTTCCCACTCTTCTTGAGCTATGTTGTTTTTTTACTGTCTGGCGTTGGTGGCTTGCTATGGAATTGGCGGTAATGGATGGACTTATATATACCACGCAGGCGCTGGAGGGGGAAAGATGGGATAATAATGGATAAAGCAAAACAGGAAGGGCCGGCATGGCGCACTAGGGAGGGCATGTGCTTCGCCAAAGCTGGGGAAAGATTCTGGCCTTGATAATATCACACTGAAGAAAGTTGTATGGATTAATACCGCCCTGTTATTTATTTGGGCATTACATTATGGATCCCGTTTTCTTCTTCTTCTTTTCTTCTGCCAACCGAATGGACCCAATGAGCGGACGGACGCTTGCTGAACTGCCATCAATTGGAATTGGAGACTGCGTCTGTAGCGCAACGGCTATTACTCCATGCTTGAATATACTATCGAGTTGCTGACCGCCGAATTCACCGTTTATGCACGCAGCTCCGGGCCTCCGGAATGCCCCGGGCCTACGGAACAGGATTGCTCGCTGGCAGTCTTCAAGCTGCATGCCAGATGACGTTCCGTATAGGTAGTATTCGATATCGATGGATTTTATCTACTGATAGCAGCACAGTGATTACACACCAATTGCCAAGGGGAAGATGGCACCAGACTCATTAGAGTCGCGACCGGGAGTCAACCGGCCCGGGTGGCGGCCGGAAAGCCAAATCTGTGTCTTCTGGAAGCCTGATGTATGTACGGAGTACCTGTACCTGTCTGGCTTAGATCTGTGGAGATACTTGGGGGTTTGCACAGTGCCTTCATGTGAAGCCATTCAGCTAGACGGGTCCAATTACCATACCAAAACTGCTTTGAATGCCAGCAGCCTGTGGTAGCTGGTACTTGTTTGGCGCCGGGCTGGCCGAATCATCTCCGACTGGCCCCGACCCCAGATTTGGCGGCTTGCTAGTGCCAAACGAAACAATTGTAGTAATCTTGGGGAATGTAGGGAGTGTATACGGACCCTGATGGAGTAAAATGCTACCTGGGCAACATCGTCCAGAAGCCGGATGGAAGAGAAATGGCGTTGTCAGAGCTGACTAGGCCCAGGAGCGTTTTCGGACGGTTTTGTTGGATCAAGGGTTACATGAGGATCTGATGTCAGCTGTCTGAGGTGCATGTACGAATGCTGGGAAGTACCTGTACCTCCGGGTTGAGGGAAGGATGGCGTAATCTGCAGAGCCAGGCTTATCGCCTTGGGTACTCGTTTGGAGTTTAGGAACTCACCATTTTTACGTCCTCTGTTGACTTACGATGCTCTATTTTAATCTCTCAGAGAGCCTAGGCAAATACAAGCGATTGAAGTCATGCGGGTGGTTTCCCAATTGTAATGCCACGAGGTAAATAGGTACTCTACCTAGGTACCTGTACGCACACACATATCAGCTGGTGATCTATCGGGAGCCCTAGAATGGAACCGAGTACCTGGCAAGGCTTAGTCCCCTGGCATAAGCACGGAGTACTGGTACATTTAGCCGTTGAGAATGCTCCGTGTAAAGTACAGTACCAAACATGTCGTCCGCCGCTCTTTGATGCTCACGTGGCGACTTTCAGCGTCTTCTGACCGCTGGGCAATTTAGCTGTTCAGTGGCGGCCAGGGGGGACAAACACGGCGCACACAGTACCAGGTACATGCATCGACAGGTGGCATCTCGCCAAACCTTGCAGCCGTCCAACCGTGTCAATTGGGCTTCCATCCATCAGGAGTAATATAAATTTTTTTTTCCCTCTTCATACTTTAACCTGCCGCTTCTCGCGCGATCCTGTGACGCTTCACTTCTCTCTTTCCCCCCTTTCCTCTTTTTTCTTTTCTTTTCTTGTTGCATGATAGACTTAGAAATACAGATAGAGGGGAATCCGGTATAGAGGGGCTTCATCTCCGACATTTTCTCTTCGCAGGCGTTTGCTCCGATCTTTTTTTGGCGCTTTTTTTTTCTCTTCCCGTCGTACCAGACCCCGATTTTCCCACTTATCCAGCTCCACAGCCTCGCCGTTTCTTCCTCCACAAAGAAGCCAACACCTTTTATCCCGTCTTCCCCGCGGGCATTTTTTTTGTTTGTTTTTTTGGAGCAGAGATTCGGATTTGCTACTTTTCTCCAAGATGGCGAGCGTTTCAACCGTCAAGGAAGCTGTCAAGGAGAGCCTGGTTGGCGGCGAGGAGCCTGCACAGCTCTCGGCGCAAACCAAGGCTCGCTTCAACAGCCATGCGATCAAGGACCCTGAGACAGGCGAGCTGTACCTGGGACCGGACGAGTTTATCAATGCGATTGCGCCTACGGATGAGGACTATGTGAGTTTGCCATTGAGTCCATGTTTCTCTTTTCCTTTGACTTTTTTTACCACTCTCCGCCCTTTTGGAGGCCCCTTTTTCCTTTTTTTTTTCTCCGTTGGTCTGAGGATCGGAGTCATATCGGTGCAGTTGCGGGACCAGTGACTAACAAGGCATCGCATGCAAACAGCACAAGATCAAGCGGGAACAATATTCGATCCTCTTTGGTGTCGCCGACAACAAAGGCACCGGCCGCGTCTCATTGACTGACTGGAGTGTCTTCGAGAACCTCCTGCTCAAGCCCGACGCCGAATACGAAATTGCCTTTCGACTGTTCGACGTCGACCGCACCGGCATTGTCAAGTACGACGACTTCAAGCGCCTCTACGAGCTCAACAAGGGCCCCGAAAACATCCCCTTCGATTGGGACTGCGAATGGGCCAAGCTGTACATTGGCACCAACAAGAACCGCCATCACCTCAACTATGCGCAGTTCTCGCAGATGCTGCGAGGCCTCCAGGGCGAGCGCATTCGACAGGCCTTCCACCGCTTCGACAAGGATGGCGACGGCTACATCAACCCGGAGGACTTTGAGCGCATCATTCGCGAGACGGCGAGACACAAGCTGTCAGACCATCTGCTCAACAACCTGCACACCCTCTGCAACATCTCGGCCAGCAGCAAGGTCTCCTATGCCAACGTGCGAGCTTTCCAGAATATGATCATGGAGATGGACCTGGTCGAGGTGATTTTGCGCCGCGCCGTCTCAAAGACCAAGGATGGTAAGATTACCAGGTCCGAGTTCATGAACGAGGCGTCCGGCCTGACGCGATTCGGCCTCTTCACACCAATGGAGGCCGACATCCTCTTCCACTTTGCCAGCCTGGACGAGCCTTCTGGTCGACTGGGCCTCCGCGACTTTGCCAAGGTCCTGGATCCCTCATGGCGTAACCCCCTGTACGACGTTATGGACACGGCCAGCCAGACGGCCGAAAAGGTCGCTTCCAAGGGCGGTGCCGTCCTGCAGCAGGTCCTTGAGTCGGCGTACAACTTTGGTCTGGGCAGTGTGGCCGGCGCCTTTGGTGCCTTCATGGTGTACCCCATCGATCTCGTCAAGACTCGCCTGCAGAACCAGCGTGGAGCGCAGCCCGGACAGCGCCTGTACAAGAACTCTATTGACTGCTTCCAAAAGGTGATTCGCAACGAAGGTGTCCGCGGCCTGTACTCTGGTGTTCTGCCCCAGCTGGTTGGTGTTGCGCCGGAGAAGGCCATCAAGCTGACGGTGAACGATTTGGTGCGCGGTCGTTTGAGCGACAAGCAAGGAGGCATTCCCCTGTGGGCCGAGATTGTCGCCGGTGGTACTGCCGGTGGTTGTCAAGTGGTAAGTTTTGGAACGATCTGGCCCTTTACTGTAACCATTATGCACGAGCTCTCGCCCAACTAACGTTCCTTTTCCTCTCATCTAGGTCTTCACAAACCCTCTCGAGATTGTCAAGATTCGTCTGCAGATCCAGGGCGAAGTTGCCAAGACTGTCGAGGGCACGCCTAAGCGATCGGCCATGTGGATTGTCCGCAACCTCGGTCTCGTGGGTCTGTACAAGGGGGCGTCGGCCTGTCTGCTGCGAGACGTCCCCTTCTCGGCCATCTACTTCCCCACGTACAGCCATCTCAAGAAGGATTTCTTTGGCGAGTCGCCGACCAAGAAGCTGGGCGTCCTGCAGCTCCTGACTGCTGGTGCCATTGCCGGTATGCCCGCGGCCTACCTGACGACGCCTTGCGACGTCATCAAGACGCGTCTCCAGGTCGAGGCTCGCAAGGGCGAGGCTTCGTACAACGGACTGCGACACTGCGCCCAAACCATCTGGAAGGAGGAGGGCTTCAAGGCCTTCTTCAAGGGTGGCCCGGCTCGTATCTTTCGATCATCGCCCCAGTTCGGCTTCACCCTGGCCGCGTACGAGGTTCTTCAGACTATGCTGCCCATGCCCGGATCGGTACCGAAGGACAAGGTGCACGTCGGCATGTCTGATGCTCTGTCCTCGTTGAAGTCGAAGCAGCTGGACTCCAGCCCCTTTGCCCGCAGCAGGAATGCGCTCAAGATCATCCTCGACCTTGACGAGGACTTTGGCAGGGTTAAGCTGCCCAACGAGAAGGGATGGAGATCGCTGCCCAAGATCATTGGCGGTGGTGGTCAAGCCGCGCAGTAAAGAAGAGAACTGGACGGCGTGAGGTGGAAAACAAGAAAGAGTAAAGAAGAACAAAAAAAAGAAAGAAAGAAAGAAAGACGTGCATCGTCAAAACCACACTCGAGGGGAGCAATGTATGATTTCTCTCCGATGATACGATGCATCAGACTAGGCGTTTGGGTGAAAATACTGCATCACGAAAGGGGCGAGTTGTTTGTATACTTGCTTCTATTGTTTTCTTTTTTAATTCCTATTCTACCTTTTCGT